GGGAACTTGGGGGAGTTGGGGCTCCCCCGCGGGGTGATGCACTGGGGTCACTTGAAGTGATGGGGAGCCTGTGATGACGTAGGAGAATCTCACGTGTGCTCTGTTACTGAGTTAAACACTAGGATGAGAACTTCGCGTTCCTCCATGCCGTCTGCTCAGGACACCTGGGTCACAAGGCCAACCCTAAGGGACTGCCCATTCCCACCCCACCTGCCCCCCACCCCCGCCCGACCACTGGGCTGAGGCTCCTGCTGCGGGGTTTCCTCTCTGGCTTTTCCTGAACCACCCCCTCCCCGGAGTCCTGGATCTCTCCCCGCTTTCTCGTCAGCCCAGCCTCTCTCCTGTCCCCTCATCCTGTGGCACAGACCACTCCTCCGGGGGAGCGGCTGACCCATCAGTGTCATTCCCCAGGTCCTGGGGTGTGCTTGGCTTTCTGTGCAGTGGCCCAGCCAAGCTGCCCTGGGGGACCTAGGGGCCCTCCTCACACCAGCGGGGCTCCATCTGGGGTACAGACCTCCCAGGCCTGTACCAGGCACCTGTGAGCTGCCCCGAGGTGGAGGGCACTCGGAGCAGGGTTTGCAGCCTTGACCCGGAACGTTCTTTTTTTGGAGGGTCTTGTAGGCCGGCCAGGTAGCCCCCCAGGAGGTCATCTCTATGCAGGCATTAGGAGGCCTACTGCCCGCAGGCATTAGGGGGCTGCGGGGCAGGAGGCAGGTTGGCCCTTGACACCGCCCTGGAGCCCCTGCTCGGGCAGGCTGGACTTGGGAGGGCCCCAAGTGGACGCGGGCCCTTGGGTCTCACCTGCCCTGACACCCGCTTCTGCCTCTTTCCCCCCGAGACCTCTGGGCCCCTCGGCCCCACCCTCCCTGCTTCCTCCCCCAGGCCCCGGGCGCAGCTCTTCTCAGCCTTCCTGGGCACTCCCAGCACAGTTCTCTCCCCTCTGCCCGCCTGTTAGGGCTGCGCGGGTGCCCAGGGCACAGCTGCATCCCGTGCATACGGCAGCCGCGGTCAGTGGGAGGAGCCGGCAGCCTGAGCTGGAGGACAGGCCGGCACCGGGGCCCTGGGGCTAGGTCAGGAAGCCTCTGAGGCCCTTGGGGTGCTGGGGAGGCCCCTGGCTTTCCCCAAGCCTGTCTGCCCGGCTGGAGACTGAAGTTACTTGGTGTCCCTGCCTGGCCCCTTGCAGCCCCAATTCTGTGCAAGTCACAGGCTGCGTTGCTGACTCCTCGGTCCTTTGTGAGCGTCCAGGGAGGGCGGGGAGGGTGTGCAGAGCCCAGGTGAGGAATCTGGCGCTGGAGCCCCGGTCCCAGTCCCACCCCAGGGTCCCTGGGCCGCCTTGTGCTTGGCTGGTTACATATTCCAAGTGTCCGTGCCGGTGTGGGCATGGGACGAGTCTAGGTCCCCACTCAGCCACCCAGAGCCTGAGCCTCGCTGTCCCCCCCCCCCCGCCAGAGGCGCGTGGTCCCCGGGGCTGAGCAGGGCTCGGGCTGTGCGTCTCGCAGCCTGCTCTCCTGCTCTGGTGTTTCCTGGCTGCTTGCTTTCCCCAGGGAGATTTCGTCTCCATCCTTGGAGTGGAGGGGCCTTGACTGAAGGGCGGGGTCCATGAAGGCCACAGGTGGGCCTGGGGCCTTGGAACGATCCCGAGGCCTGGGATCCCGAGCGGTGGCCCGGTGGAGGTGGAGACCTGGTGGGTCTGCTGTGAGGACCGGGACCAGTCTGGGTCGCTGCCCTCCATCCACCTGGCTCAGAGCCGGCCCTGGGCCCATGGAGAGGCCGTTGCAGCCGCCCTCCTCTGCGCGGGGAGCCACGCTCCTCAGTGGCTCACTGCGGCGTCTAGGGTGGTGTGGAGTGGCCAGCCAGCCAGGAACCCCGGGGCTGGGGGAGAGGAGCCCCGGCCCCTCCAGGAAGAGGCTCTCCTCAGACCCTGGTATGCCGGGCTCGGGCTGAGCAGTGGGCCTCAGCAGTGCCCCGTGCCCGCCCTGGGCCCTGCTTCCCAGCTGCCCTTGAGAGCAGACTGCCTTTCCGTGAGCCAGCTGCTTCGGTTCGGTTTCCTTAAGATCGGCAGGAGCATGCCCAGCTCTGGGCTGCAAGGAAGGTTCAGGAGCTGGTGTTAAGTGCCTGGGGCTTCCCTGGTAGCTCAGCTGGTAAAGAATCCGCCTGCAATGCAGGAAGACCCCAGTTTCTAATTCCTTGGTGGGAAAGATTCCCTGGAAAAGAGAAAGATTACCCACGCCAGTATTCTTGAGTTTCCCTGGTGGCTGAGACAGGAAAGAATGCGCCTGCGATGCGGGAGATCTGGGTTTGGTCCCTGGGTCGGGAAGATCCCCTGGAGGAAGACATGGCAACCCACTCCAGTATTCCTGCCTGGAGAATTCCCACGGACAGAGGAGCCTGGCGGGCTGCAGCCCATGGGGTCGCAAAGAGTCGGACAAGACTGAGCGATTAAACACATGTTATGCCAGGCCCAGCGTCCAGAGCTCCATGAATTATCCAGTAGGCAGTTGCGGTCGGTCTCGGTGACCTCATCCGCCCGCTGGCAGCCTGGAGCCTCAGCGGCGGTCGGCGGGGTCAGCTGAGATCCTGCAGAGGAGCCGTCAGGCATGCGGGCAAGCTCTGGGCACACTGAGGCCGCCACTGCACCCCAGCCGCCCCCCAGTGCCCACGCAGGTGGCCGCCCAGCCGGGACGGAGCCCCCGCCTGCTGCCTCGGGGCAGGCACCTTGAGGGGCGGGCCGAGCCATGGCCCCCAGCCGCACCAGCGCCGCCGCCCTTGGTGGAGGTCCGGCTGCCTGCTGTCCTGCTCTAGCCTGTCCCTCATCTGGGTCTTCCTGTGAGGCCCTGCTGCCCACACCCTTCCCGTGTTCCCAGCATGCCCCTTGCCTCCTCGGGACCTGCACGCAGCCCTCTCTGGGTGGGTGCAGGGCCTCTGCTGCAGGAGGGGCAGGACGTGGCCGCTTCCCTTCCTCCCCACACGTGGCGCCCTCTGACGCCTGGTCACTCGGGGGGCTTCCCATCTCTGCAGGGGCTCCCATGGGAGGCGCTCCCGCCCCGCCCTGGCGACAGGATGAGGCTCACCCTTCCCAGATGCCCCCCTCAGTGCAGCCCACGGAGGCGGAGGCAGGATTGTGGGCTTGCTCACCACCTGCCCGCCTGTGGCCCCGCGTCCCGGGCATGTACCCAGGGCTTGCAGTAGCTGCTTTCCTCCTGACCTTCCGTGCACTCCGCCTGATTTCTTTTGGCCTCCTGACTTTCTGAAGTCTCTGGCGTTAAGGTTCTGCCCACATGTCCTCACCCAGCCTGGGGTTAGTAGGGAGGAGCCCTTGTGTGAGGTGATGGGAACCAGGCCCGTCCTGTGTCCCGGGGGTGGGAGGGTCTGCCCCCACCCCAGGAGGCTGGGTCAGGGCCGCGGCCTCCAGGCTGCCTGCCCCTCGCTGCCCTCGGCTCCCTGTGGCCACCGAGAGCAGGTCCAGCCAGCTGTGCACCCGGAGTTGTGATGGTGACGCCCCGGACCGGGCGGGCCCCGCCGGGAGGAGCAGCATGTGGGAAGCGGGCGCAGGGAGGGCAGCCTCGGAGGGCGAGGCGGGCGGATGGCGCCTCCACATGACTGGGTGGGTGGCGGGCGACTCCTTGGTGCCACTGGGCAAGTGTCCTGATTGAGGCCTCGCTGCCTGCAGTGACCCCGTGGGCTGGCAACGGTGGGAGGCCAGCCACCCCCCACCCCCCCCGGCGACACTGTGCCCTCCATGGAGCGTCTGCGTGCACCCCGGCTTACCTCACACACCTCTCCCCCCCCCCAAGTGTGTCTCCGTCACTGGCCCTGTGCAGACCGTGGCAGGGACCGCGGGGATGCCTGCAGCGGCGTGGGGGAGCATGGGCCTTTCCTGGGTCTCACACGGCTGTCTGCGATGCCCTTCTGGCCCCTGCTCTCATACCTGGGGCGGGCTGCTCACCCAAGCCGCTGCAGAAGCTGCGCCTGATGGTAGGAGACGCAGCATTGGGACCCTGGGCGGGCCCCCCCCGGCGGGCCCCCCGTGTCCACTGCAAGCCGGTGGCCAGGCTGCAGGCTGCAGGACTCGGCCCCGCGGGTTTGGAGCTCCTCGCTTCCCTGGAAGGCTCAGGGCTGGGGGTGGCCTGGCTTCCCCCCAACCCAGGGTGCCATGGACAGTCCGGCTGCCTGGGACACAGCACCGTGGGCCCCACACACAGGAGGCAGTGTGGGGCCCATCCTTCCTGGGCACAAGTTTCTCCAGGGTGCTGGCCACGGGGCCCACCTGGGAGCCTGCCCCGGAGACGCAGTTCCTAAGGTCCAGCACCCAGCCCCAGGCAGCTCAAAGGCGTGAGCTTCTTCTCTTTACTGCCCGCCTCAGCCGTGCTGGCCGTCATCCTCTCCCTGACTGGGCCAGAGTGGGGGTGCTGGCTACGGACTGGGTGCTGCCCACAGGCTAAGCATGGCACAGGGCCGGGGGGGGCTCGGCGGTGAGGCTCCCACCCAGCCGGCAGACAGCAGGGTCAGCCAGGAGGGAAGTGGAAGGGGTCCCGGCTGCACCAGAATGCTGGGCAGATGTGTGTTGAGGGAAGGCGGCAGCCAGCGTCCCCGGGGGTGGCCAGTCACTTTTGGGGGGCACTAGAGACTCTCTGGGCACTGCCGGAGGGGGTGCTATGGATGCCCAGGCCTGGGGCCTGCCTGGCCTGCCCAGCTGCCACAGTTCACGGCAGTTTCCCACTAGGAGTGGGTCCTACCCTGCGCTGTCCGTCCCTATGTGGTCAGCACCCATGGGGAGCCTCGTGGGCCCGGGCGTCTCCCGGTCCTGCCATTGGACATGGGCTCACTCTGCGTGCTTCCCTGGGGGGACGACTGGGTCAATGGGGGCCGGTGCTGGCTCTCAAAAGAAGGGGGCACCAAACTGTGCACACGTCCTCCGCTCCCATCCGCGGGGCCGCCCTCCCGGGGCAGGCTCCGGTCCCAGCGGCCCTCCCCTCACGCCAGCCCGGTCTGTTCCTCAGGGCATCTGGCGGATCCCCGTGGACGAGATCGACCGGCCGGGCAGCTTCGCCTGGCACATGAACCGCTCCGTCGTGCTTCTGCTCAAGGTGCTGGCCCAGCTGCGGGACCACGGCACCCTGCTCAAGGTCTCCTCCATGCTGCAGCGCACCCCGGACCAGGGCAAGTGAGTGCAGCTCTGCCCGGCCGGCCGGAGGCGTCCCGGGGTCGGCCAGGGTCCTGGGTGACGGCCAGGAGTAGCGGGCCGAGCCCACCCCCCACCCCTGGGGCTCAGAGCCTCAGCCCTGGGGACCTGGGACACACACAGTGCTGGGTGTGCAGAAGGAGGCCCCGGGAACACCTCCGGGAGCAGAGGGGCACGCACCGCCGTTGCCGTGTGGCTCTGACGCGTGGTCTCCCCTGCGTGCTGCAGGAAGTATCTGCGAGATGCTGACCGCCAGGTCCTGGCACAGCGGGCCTTCATCCTCACTGTGAAGGTGCTGGAGGACACGCTGAGCGAGCTCACGGAGGTACACGAACCCCCCCCCCATGCAATGCCACCCATGGGACCGTCAGCCCACTCCCTCACCCAGCCAGCACCTCCCAGGAGCCGTGCTCACCGTCTGTCTTCATAGCTGGGCACCCGGAGGCCAGTCGCCACCCTAGCAGGCGGGGTGACTGCGAGCCAGGGCCATCCGGCCGTGGTGCCCCCCGCCCAGCGAGCCTGGTTGTGCCCTGGTGGGAGGCCCGGGTGGGCTCGTCTCTGCCTCCTGCACACTTGCTGGTGGGGCGGGGCGGCTGTGCCTCAGAGGCAGAGCCACCGCCAGGACCCCTGCAGGCAGCGCTGTGGCTCCAGCCCTGGCTGGCGGGCAGATGGGCAGGACCAGGGTGGCCTCGGTGGGAGAGGCCGAGGTGGGCACAGCCAGCGCTCGGGGGCAGGAAACACCGGAGACTCTGCGTCTAATCGTCGCTTTCCTTGTAGGGGTCGGAACGCCCTGGGCCCAAGGCCTGCGGCCTCCCCGGAGCCAGAATGACCACCGACGTCTCCCACAAGGCCAGTCCCGAGGACAGCAAGGAGGGTCTCCCGCACCCCAAGAAGCCCCCTCTGGCTGATGGCTCAGGGCCAGGCGCTGAGCCAGGGGGCAAAGTGGGCCCCCTCAACCACCGGCCCCTGGCCATGGACGCGGGGGAGGGCACAGACCAGGCTGGGGAGCGCAGGGACAAGGAGAGCCCCCGGGCCGGCCCCACTGAGCCCATGGACACGGGGGACGCTGCTGCCCGAGGCACGGACTCCGAACAGGGGCCGCCGCCCCCGCAGCCAGGCCGCCCCCCGCGGGGCCGGGGCCCTGAGAGCCGGCCCGCCGAGCTGTCCCTGGAGGAGCTCAGCATCAGCGCCCGCCCGCCTGGCCCGCCCGCCCCCGCCCTGCCCGCGCCCACCACGGCGCCCGCCGCCGCGGCCGGCCCCAGGCCAGGCGCCCGCCCCGCGGAGGCGCCCCCGCGGCCCGGCCGCAAGAGGAAGCTGCTGGAGGACACGGAGCCCGGCCAGACGCTGCTGTTGGACGCCTACCGCGCGTGGCAGCAGGGCCAGAAGGGCCCGGCCCCCGGCCTGGGCCGCGTCGAGAGGGTCATGGCAGAGGCCTACATGCTCATCAGGCAGGTGCGCGGCTACGGGCGGGCGTCGGGCCGCTCCCAGCCACCCCACGGCGCCCCGCTGTGAGCCCAGAGGGGTTTGCATATGCTGCTGCTGCCGCTGCTAGGTCACTCAGTCGTGTCCGACTCTGTGCCGCCCCACAGACGGCAGCCCGCCAGGCTCCGCCGGCCCTGGGGTTCTCCAGGCGAGAACACTGGAGTGGGTTGCCATTGCCTTCTCCAATGCATGACAGTGAAAAGTGAGAGTGAAGTCGCTCAGTCATGTCCGACTCTTTGCGACCCCATGGACTGTAGCCTACCAGGCTCCTCCATCCATGGGATTCTCCAGGCATGAGCACTGGAATAGGTTGCCATTGCCTTCTCCGCTAATATGTTACAGTTTTACTTAACTACACCTCAGAAAAGCTGCTGAAATAAGTACTGAAAAAGACAACACCCTTCTAAAACATCTGTAGCTACTCTCGAAGGAAAGGAGGCCTTGCAGAAGCCTTATCAGGTGCAGGGAGGCTCTGCTACCTGTCTTATTCTGCTGCCTTTTGTGTTTTTTAATCCCTCAGGCATAGGTTTTTATTTTCCCTCTAATTAGAGGAAAATAGGTTCTTTCCATAGGAACAGCCCCGGGTTGTATCAGGCCGGCAAGGTGAGCACCCTGACACTCCCCTCCTGGGCTGTGTCCACGTGCACCCACTGCTTGCAGGCTGTTTTATCACCCCCTCTCCAGCATCAGCAGTGCTTTTTTTTGTTGTTGCTGATAAACTAGCAAACATAAGCCCTGGATTTCCTGCTGGCGAGGGTGGGCCCTTTTCCCACCCCAGGCCGGTCGTCTCCCCCACCCAGGGTCATCCCCAGGCCCCCCCAGCCTCTGCACCCGAAGGTGAAGTCACACGGCCACAGACGTGAACGTGGCATGGCCAGCTGGTCCTCGAGCAGCAGCCCTGGGGTTTGGGACCTGGGACAGGGCTGGGGTTCCCCCCGGGAAGCAGCCATGGCGGGGCGCGTCCTGGGAGCAGCCCTTGAGGCCCACTGACCTCGGGTATGTCCTTGCTCAGGTGGATGAGGAGGCCGCCCTGGAGCAGGCCGTGAAGTTCTGTCAGGTCCACCTCGGGGCTGCCGCCCAGAGGCAGGTAAGCGTGGACCCACCCGTGCCAGCCGCCTGGTGCAGGGCGCGAGGCCCCAGGCTGCAGGCCGGGACCATCCCCGTGGCCGGGGGGCCCAGGGCAAGTGGGCGGCGGGCCGCTGAGCCTCAGGCCCTGAGGGAGCGCCCGACCACCAGCCCGGGTGGGACTTGGACCCCAGCACTGAGCGCGGGCGGCGTGAGGGCCCCGTCACCCCCGCAGCTCTCCCCTAAACCAGAGCACGGTCGCCGCCCCGTGAACCTCGTCTGTAGAGGCGGCTCCTCAGCACAGAGGTGGCGCTGTAGTGGGCCGACCGGAGCCCACGGGCAGGGCCCAGCGTCCAGCCAGCCTCCTTCCTCTGTCTGGGAAGACCCCTGCTGCTGGCTGTGGGGGCCGGACTCGGGCAGGGCCAGCTCACCCCGGAAGGTGGGGCTGGCTGCAGGCTGGTCGCCGGGTCCTGGGGCAGGTACTTGTGGGGTCGGTGTGGCCTTTCAGTCCCCAGGGCTGGCCTGGCTGCCACGCCCCAGCGGCAGGAGGACAGGGACCCCACTCTCACCTTCTGCCCACGGGAGACAGGTCCTGCCTCACCCTCCCTTCTGCTGAAGGTCCACTGGAGTGGCAGGGTCGTCCACACCCATGGAGCCAGGGGTGGGGCGTCTCCCAGGGAGCAGATGTCAGGAGAGACGGGGTCAGGGTGGGGCGCTGGGTGCCCCCAGGAGGCGTGAGGCTCCCGCAGCCTCGGGCCAGGGTCCAACCGGTGATTCAGAGAGGATGGTGGGCCTGGGGCCGGGGCTCTGTCCCTGGGCACCGCGTGGGGCCCCTGCCCCACCTGGCAGCTGCCTGTGCAGAGCTGCAGCCATAACCCCCGCGTGGGGGCTTCAGATGAGCAAGAAACTGTGCCTGCAGGCGGAAGGCCAGAGGGCCCAGCTCCCTGAGGACCGAAGGGCTTTGGGGCCGCAGCCTTGAGCCCGGGAGCAGCCCCCCGCAGAGCCCGCGTCACCCCTGCTCTCAGGCCCCTCCCGTCACCGGCGGGAGTCACCCTCCAGGACTGACCACTGCAGCCACCGCCTTGGATGCCCTCGTCCTGTGCCCCGGGTCCCAGCTGCACCACCCTCCTAGCTGGCACCCAGCAGTGGGGGGTGCAGGTCCTGGCCAGCCTAGGGCCTCTCTGCCGTGCCCTGGACGTCCTCAGGCGGGCCCCTGCGCCCCCAGTGGCCCCCGACGTCACAGGGTAGGCCCCCTCACACCCACTCTGCCCTCCCAGGCGGCAGGGGACACGCCCACCACCCCGAAGCACCCCAAGGACTCCCGAGAGAGCATCTTCCCCACCACCGCGGCCCCCACAGCCCCTGAGCCCGTGCTGGTGGACGCCCCGCCGCGGCCCAGTGACGGCCACACCAAGCCTCGCCCTGTGCCAGCCACTGCCTCCACCCCAGACCTGGCCAAGGACGCCGGGCCCCCGCGGCCGCACCGGCCCGAGGCCGCCCCCAGCACGTCGTCTCTGCACCCAGGTGAGTCTGGGCCCTCTGCCAGGTGGGCGGGCCCGGTCCCACAGCAGGCCTGTCGCTGCGCGGAGGTGTGGGCGCCTCCTGCCCGGTGACCCCCAAGTGCTGTCTCCACCCCCCGCCCACCATGTTCCTCCTCCCACGGAGGCTCAGCAGAGCGCAGGGTCTGGACCCCAGGCTCACGCGTCGTCTTGGCGGTATTCACCCCCGGAGACGGCCACGGGCCAGGGGACGCAGGGCTGGGGCTCTACGGGCAGCAGGAAGGCCTGGTTCCTTCCACACTTAGGTGCCCCTGGGAAGTGCAGCCCACAGTGGGCAGGGGAGCCCGGCCGACCAGGGAGGGCGCATGTTGCAGGACACACACGCATGCACGCACGCTTACACGTGCCTCTCCTTGCCGGCTCTGCACACCTGGGCCGGCGCCTGGAGGCAGCGGTCAGCTAGGCAGCTCCCACCCCTGACAGGAGCAGCTCCCGAGGTGGCTCAGCCAGGCCCCCCAGGACAGCTATGTGAGAATAGGTGTGCCCAGCCGGGCGGGAACACCTCAGAACAGCCCCCGGGGCCCCTGCGGAAGGGCCTGGACCAGACGCCCCCCCGGGCCCGCCCCCCAGGCCTGCGTCGCGGCTGTGTGCCCAGCGTGACCCACTCCTGCGAGGCCCAGCAGGGCAGCTGCAGGCCCCCCACGGGTCGTGCCTGCCCCTGCCGCGTGTGGGCTGGGCCCTGGGAACGCAGAGACGGCTGGCAGTCAGAGCAAGGGGACAGGGCCAGATCCAGGGACTAGAGCCAACAGCCGGGGGCCTGACCCCTGCCCAGGCGAGGAGCAGCCGTGACCCCCACTCCTGGGGACATGGGGGAGCAGCCGGGTGCTGGGGTGGTGGCGGGCGTGGCAGGAGCGTCCAGAGGAGGAGGACAGGAGGCCCCACGTGGACAGGGGGCCTGGAGATGCACTCCTCGTCCAAAAGGTGTGGCCTGGCAGGAGGGCCACTTGGTCTGTCCCATCCTCAGCTGTGTCGTTCGGGTCCAGTCGCCACTCTTGGGCGCTGGGGTGGGGCCCTGTGAGTCGGGCTCACCGGGGGTCCACGGCCAGAGTAGTTAGCAGCCTGGCCCCGCCCGGGCCACTGTGTCGGAGGAGGCCTGCGTGATCATGGCCACGGTCGGGGTGGAGGGCCCTGTCCCGGCATGGGGCGCGCGTCCCCCACGGCTGCTCTGTCCCCCCAGGGGGAGAGGAGCCGGCGGGAGGCGCAGAGGGCCCGGGCTTCCCGCCCCAGGAGCCGCGGGACAGCGAGCACCTGAAGATGGCGGCGGAGGCCGCCCCTCGGACCAGCACCCAGCCCGCCTGCAGCCAGGGTAAGCCCTGGCATGGCCCCGGGGCCAGCAGGCGGCGGGGGGCGTCCCCGCAGAGGGTTCTGGAGACAGCAGGGGCGGGGGCAGATGAGAAAGGCAGGGGTGCCCAAGCGCCGCCGCTCTCCCCCCGCTTTTCACCCTGTGCCTTGCAGACGGGAATGGTTCGGGTGGTGCGGAGCCCACGTTAGGATGCCTGGCCGAGGAGCAGTGCGCCCGGCCCAGATGGAGCAGGGCGGGGAGGCCGGGGCAGACAGGGCCGGTCTGCGGCCCTGCATGCTTCCAGCAGCCAGGCACCCGGGACTTCTGGGGCGGGGCCTCACTCAGACCCTGCTGGGGCAGCCCGCTCCTTTTAAAGCCATGGGGCGGCGGACGTACGCGGACAGCAGCCAGCCTGCGGCTCCTGGGCACGTGGGGTCGTGGATGTGGGCCGGGGGCAGGCTCTAGGATGTGAGAGCGATGAGGCCTGGGAGGATCGGGGCTCCCCTCCACCCCGGGGCCCCCCGCAGACACCCTGCTCCTAGGCGCCCCCTGTCTCCACTTCCACCAGCCAGAGCCAGGCCCTCCGGGAGGCAGGGAGACAGGAAGTGGCCTGGGAGCCTGGTAGCCAGCACCCTGCGGTCTAACCGCCAGAGGCGGTGCCTGGGTGCCTCTGTCCCTCGGGGAGTGGGGTGACGAGGCCTGCAAAGGAGAGGGGCAGCCTGGGAGGCCGCGGGCAACCCCGCTCAGCCCTCTGGGTCCGTCCCGCAGTGGCCAGCTCCAAGGCGCCTGGCGGTGGTAGTGCCCCGCCCCCCGAGGGCCCCCCGGGCAAGGCTGAGCCTGGCCGGGCCAAGTCGCGCCTGCTGCCCAACATGCCGAAGCTGGTCATCCCCTCATCCACCACCAAGTTCCCCCCCGAGATCACCATCACACCGCCCACCCCGACCCTGCTCTCACCCAAAGGCAGCATCTCGGAGGAGACCAAGCAGAAGCTGAAGGTGATGGGGTCTGGGGGGCCCAGGTGGGGGGCGCGGGTGCTGGTGGGGGCTGGGCGGCCGCTGACCCCCGCCTGCCCGGCCGGCGCAGTCGGCCATCCTGTCCGCGCAGTCGGCTGCCACGGTGCGGAGGGAGAGCCTGTGCCAGCCGGCGCTGGAGGCGCTGGAGACGTCGAGCCAGGAGTCGTCTCTGGAGAGCGAGACGGACGACGACGAGGGCTGCATGGACGTCTGAGGGCCCGCCCGGCGCCGCCGGCTCCCCGGGCTCTGCGGGGCCCGCGCCCGCTTACGACGCGCCCCCTCCCCGCCGCGTCCACGTTCCGCAGGCTCTGCCTGGGTCACAGCGGTGGAGGGCCCTTTTTTTGGTTGCTTTTCTAATAAAGATGAAACAGTCATCTCGGTCTCTTTGTTCCTCGGGGCGGGGTCCCCGTCCAGGCCTTCTGGGCCCCCTCCCCCGGGGCCTGTCAAGGCAGGGTAACCCCCCATCCCTGGGCGGGGCACAGGGCTGAGGCCATGTGCTCCAGGAGGCTCCAGCTGGGCCCAGGGGCTGGCCTGCACCCCTGTGTGGCAGGAACCCGGAGCACGGGTCTGTGCTGACCGCCCCCCCACCACCACACTCCCCCTCCAACGGGACCGCCCCGTGAGCTGTGGGTGCAGTGTGGGACCCCCGGTTACAAAGGTAAGCGTCTGTAACACAACAGCAGGGCGGCACTGGCCGTGTCGTCCGGCCTGGAGCCCGTCCGTCCTGGGGACGCACACGTTTGAGGGGCCCGGCCTGCCCCGGGGCCTCGTCTGGAAGGCCAGGGTGGCACAGAGACCCTCCCTGCTGCCCTCTGCCCCTCCCCCTCTCGGGGGGACACTCCGTGGCCCCCCCCCAGCCTGAGAAGACAGACACCCAAGAGGCTGGGCACTGTCAGGGTCCCCAGCGCGGGCAGAGCCACGCAGGGACCCAGGGCGCTGGGCTGGCCCTGACTCAGGCCCCTTCCCGAGGCTGCAGGGCTGAGGGCCCCCAACCCTGGCCCCCCTACAGTGCGTTCCTGGCCTCCCCCGGCCCTCCAGCCAGAGCACCCCCTCCCCCTGTCCACAGACCCCCGTCCTGGTGTCAGCTACACGCTGGCATGCTGGGGCGGGGGTCTGGCTGAAAGACACCAGGGGGTACCCAGGCAGTGGAAAGGCACTCGGTGGGGCTTGGCCGAGGGTACACGCCCCCCCACCCCCTGCCCAGCCGGGTGAAAGGCTGGTGGGGGCTGGTTAACAGGTACCAGGGGGGCTCAGCTGTAGGAAGCTTGAGTGGTCAGCTAAGAAGCTAACCCAATGCTTCTGTTAATACAAGGGGCGCACCTCGGCCAGGGTCATGTCCGTACAAAACTTAGACTCACAAGTACCTGCCTGACTGGGGCAGTTACGCTAACAGGAGATTCCCAACCTGAAACGAGCAGATTGGGCTTCCTTTAACATTCCCAATTGATATTCTTGCAGTTAGAAAAAGCTGGCCATACATAAGATCAAACAGACTTGATGGAGTGCTTACTATGACTGATATCTGGAAACTTCTCTTAAAACTATATCAGAACCAAAAACAGGCTGCTGACGGTCTGTCACTGACCCACCTCTCTCCCTCTACGTGTATCTTTTTCTACCTGAATTACTTGGTCAGATGCTATCTCATTTTTTTCCTTTCTCTTCCAACTCTTCCACCTCCTGCTATTTGCCTCTGCTCGGCAAAGGAGGAGTAAAGAGAAGAAAAAAAAAACCTTTTAAGGAATATTCTGGCTTGACACCCAAATCATTGTTCTCTAACCACCACAATCATCCTTTGCTTGACTCCGCCTTTTAGAAGGTTTAGATGAGGATGTGGCTGCTCTGGTCAGAAAGACAGTCTAGGTTGGTCTTAGCTACATACTTAACGCTTGTCAAACTGCTTGACCAGCTTTTCAGAACCACTAAAAGAAAAGGGGGTAGCTACGAAAATTTATGAATGTCCAGTTGTGCCAACTGAGTCCACAATGCCAGTTGAACGTGAACCAACCCCCAACCAGTTTAATTCCAACCAGCAGAGAAAGTAACTTGAACAAAAAAAGAAAGTCCTGAGGAAATAAGTCCTAATTAGGAGAACCTGATTTGCTATCCCTGTTGCCTTGAGATCAGAGCTCCCAGGATCACTTAACCTTATCCTGAAACTGAAGAAAGAAAAACAGGGAACGAAGCCTTTAAAAATCTTTCTTACATACTGGTGAGTTTTATATTGAGGTATTTGATTCATGACTAAGCTGAGAAAATGAGGCTAGATATCTCGTTGTGTCTGGCTGAATGTATGTCTCATGTGTGTCTGTCTTTGTCTTTGTAATTCTAATGAAGTTTAATTTGTAAGTGAGCTGTAATTTAATTGGCCTAAAGAAAAGTAAGCGCCTACAAATCAGAAAATTATAAGTTCAAGAGAAATTAAGCTAAGTGCATTTCAGGTTCATATGAACTGGGAAATATTCAATATTAAATTATACCTGGTGTTTAATGTTTGTTGGCCTAATTAATATAGAAATGTGTGCATTCATAAACATCAAATATAAAATTAAGTATAATCCTATCATCTGGCCTAGGTTTATTTTAATATAAGTTAAATAGAATAATATTATATCTGTTACAACTTTGTCAGCAAGGAAATTAACTTAATATGAAGAAACTTTTTATTTATTTATTTTTTCATTAGCATCTCAGATTTTTTTTTCATTTATTTTTATTAGTTGGAGGCTAATTACTTTACAATATTGTAGTGGGTTTTGTCATACATTGACATGAATCAGCCATGGATTTACATGTGTTCCCCATCCCGGTCCCCCCTCCCACCTCCCTCTCCACCCGATCCCTCTGGGTCTTCCCAGTGCACCAGGCCCGAGCACTTGTCTCATGCATCCAACCTGGGCTGGTGATCTGTTTCACCATAGATAATATACATGTTTCGATGCTGTTCTCTCGAAACATCCCCCCCTCGCCTTCTCCCACAGAGTCCACAAGTCTGTTCTGTACATCTGTGTCTCTTTTTCTGTTTTGCATGTATGAAGAAACTTTTTAGGAAAGAAAATGTAAACGGGTTAAAAGGTTTTCAATAAACTCTATTAAGAGTAATTATGTTTTAGTCTGTCCAGATTTTGGTAAATTGAATTTCTAGGGTTGTGCTAAATTAAGTGATGGAAGTTTACTTAATGGGTAGGGTATTCCCAAATAAAATAAGATACTGCAACATTAATTACTGATAACTGGCTTCCTCTTACAGAGAAACTAAAGGTATTTTGGACTATTAATGAATATGTTTGATGCCATCTTGAGATGTTCTCTATAAGAAAGCAAATGTATTTTTTTAGAAATTATCATTGGTATTTATGTTCACCAATCTACAGAATGCTAATATAAAGGTCAGTTCGTGGTTGCTTAAGGAAAGTAGGATATGTGTTTTCAGTAAAGAAGGCATGAGGAATGGAGTTACATTTTATTAAGGGATGTCTGATGTAAGAGGTGATTGTTTTTGGATGGGCAAATTAAGTGATGTCTGCAGAAAAGTTTTGGAAAGTGGACTCCAATAGAAGAATTTGGTGCATGGTACAAGTTTTCTTAACATGTTGAACTGCCTTCGATAACAGATTGTAATCTCTTTACTTTTAGATAATCTGCTCTGTATTTACCTTTGAAATCTTTTACTGTTAGTTTGGTTAAGTGAGTAACTTGTTTCACAATGACCTGTGATGATCTCTGAGTATTTTAAACCCTCTTGACATTCTTTGCAAAGCTTCCTGAATCTTTTTGACCTCTTTGAGTGCTTCAAAGAGCCTTCTGAAACATTGCAAAGAGAGATACAAACTAGGTTCATGTGATGTGTTGAACTGCATGGGAAGTATTGTCAAGTGAGCACTAAGTCTTCTCAGGTCATAGTGTATGGCAAATGTTACTAATAGAGATATTATAAAATTTATATGGAGCTCCTAAAATGCTGACATGTGCTGGTCAAATGTCAGCTGTCATTCTAGCTATTATCTGCAAGTGAGGTATGTCACAGCAGTAACCAAGTTACTTTGTCAGTTGTATCATAATCAGAAATTACTGGGTTGAATCTGTTTTACGGGTGTAAGGAGAACCTTCCCTTCAAACTAAGTACAACTTATAGTAATTTGGTAAATTACACTTTTGTAAGCAGAATTGAAATATTTAACTTTTTTTTCTCTATTGGCTCCCTCCAGAGTTTGTAAATGCTCAGGTTTCCAGCAGCTGTAACAGATAAATTAGGTAAGCTACCTCACCATCAGGTGTAAAAATCTCAAGGCATTTTGGCAACCTTGCAAAGGGAGGAATTCCCCTCGATCTGTAGTTGAGACATGTGATAAGCTCTTGGCCTGACCTTCCTGGCCCTGAGAGGTTTTGTTTTTGTTTTAAGAAGTTCAGTCTGACAGTCCTTATAAAAAATTTCAGTAAAGCAAAACCCTATGATCAATTATAATAATATAAATTTTCAGATCAAGGTTGTTTTGTTTTGTTTTGTTTTTCTGAGACCAGACATTTTTTGCAAACAAATTAGTTTTAATTTGAATATATTTGGTAGAAATGAGAATAACTTTAGAGAGAAAAAGATTACATTTCAATGAATGTTAAATCCCAGTTTCCTTAACAGAGGTCTGTATTTACTGACTCACTTTCCAGATAAGTTCCTTGCTGTTATGCTATATTAATGGAAAGTTACTTGAATGATTAAAAGGACATTCTAAGTTTTATTTCTGAAGCTTATCTCAGTAATCTCAGTTCCCACAGCCTCCAAACCGGGGATTATGTATACCAGAAAGGACTGTCTTCAACCTGGGTGGAAGGGCCTTCTATCAGGTACTCTTAACTAGCTCATGCACAGTGAACTTGAAGGAGAATTGACCCTTGGATTAATTCCATCTTCTATAGGCCCCTGCACCGGACTGGTCCATAGACAGGACTGCTGATGTCAAACTCAGCTTAAAAGGATGCTCAAACAGAGGAAATTACACTTAGACCAGGACAAAACGAAGATACATCAGAAGTAGACAGCTTACCCAAGATGCTGGACCTGATTTGTATGATCATTTATAATGTTGTCTTGACTTCTTAGACCTTTTTTTAAATTTTTTTTCATTTTTTTTACTTCTTAGACCTTTGCATATAAATCAAACGTTTTTCTATCTTGAACATGATCCTACGCTAGTTTTAAAAAATAAATCCAAGTAT